AACAAAATATCTCTGTAAATCTTAAATGTTGATAAAATATGTAACTTTTTTATGATTGAACATCAGAATAATTTTGTACATGAACTGCATTATGGATAAATTTGAATTACTGACATAATTTATTTGTGAAATGACCTTGAATTAGTTAAAAGTGAGAATTTATTATGTTACAGTAAAAATCGATTTTCTCAGGAACCATTTATAAGGAAATTTCAAAAACTCTGTTATCTGCATGAATGCATGACTCCATACATTTGTAATATAGGTGAATAGTATTAAAACTCTAAGGGTTACACACAACTGTTCATTGTTCAGATTAAATTGAATGTAAATTTTAATTTGAAATGTCTTCTAGGTCTGGTTTAACCTGCATGTTTATAAGGCCATAGTAGTGATTATTAAGACATGCAGAGCATTGCCATTTTGGCACCTCTTACTAGGTGATAATCTCTTTCTTTTCCTGTATTATTTTAAAAAACTTAAGTTCAAAGGTTAATAGTGTCAAATATTTAAAATTTGTATTATTTAAGTACTGTTGTTGTAATTGAAATAAAATATCTTCTTATGAAAAGATTTTACACACTTATAAGAAGTTAATCCGTTTCTTTTAAGTTCACAAAATATTGAATACTGTATATTTAAATCTTCTGTGTCATTTGCTTTTAATACCCTTTTGTTTGTAATGGAGTAAATTGACCAATAGTTTATGCAATAATTTATTGTTTGTAATGGAGTAAATTGACCAATAGTTTGTGCAATATTTTATTGTTTATAATGGAGTAAACTGACCAATAGTTTATGCAATATTTTATTGTTTATAATGGAGTAAACTGACCAACAGTTTATGCAATAATTTATTGTTTATAATGGAGTAAATTGACCAATAGTTTATGCAATAATTTATTGTTTGTAATGGAGTAAATTGACCAATAGTTTATGCAATAATTTATTGTTTGTAATGGAGTAAATTGACCAATAGTTTATGCAATAATTTATTATAATGTTTACCTATTCATAGTTATTGACTGACAAATGAAAGGTGTGGAGAAAAAAGTTATAAGACATAATATCTAAAAAAAAATATTATTTTTTAATCCTAATCTAACTTTATCAGTTTTAATCATTGGACATTTTCATTTCTTTAGGAACCCTTTTGGAATATAAGTTTCATGGTCTGACTATTTTGACCATTCCTGTTTCCCTATTGTTAGTAAATTCTTTTCAGTGAATCTTTGGGTCATTGACATTAACAATGATTCACCTGAACATTCAAATTGACCCAGATTTTAATCGAAGTACTACAAGGACATTTTATTTAACTTGCAAATGAAATGCCTTAGCACTAAGAGTTGTTTGAAAAATCGGTAGAATTAAATGTCCTTTTTACAAGACCCTTTGACGTCAGTAGATTTGTGTCTTGATGTTTCTTTATTGTCCTCTAACCTAAAAGCAGATAAATTGATTTCTCAGTTTGGTTCAATTAAAAATTTCAAGTACTTGTTTTATTGTGAAAATGCTCCTACTATTAGAATTCTACATAAAACCTATAATAGTGTTTTATGATTTAGATTGAATATATATGTCGCGTTAACTAGATCTCGGAAACCAACTGTTACGAAATCCTATATTTGTTTTCTGCAGGTATTAATTTTATTGTATGAGGTAAAATTGCATTGTTTGGAATTTTTTATAGGTCTGTTAGGGATATGATATTACGTCATTGTCCTGTTTTTTCTAACGCCTTCACAACATTTCTGTTTATCTAGATTAATCAGTACATGTCAAAGATTTGAAAGAAATATAGAAATTGATTTCTACTGTCACATGCCAGATTATCTGCCTTCAAATTATTGAATGCATTTGATGTACCATTATACAAGCTAGGTCAAGCCATACATAAATAGGTCTTTAGTTGCTGAAGTCTACGTCATTAGGTGGATAGTGGTCTCATTTGCAATCATACCACCTCTCCTTACTTTTATAATGAAAAAGAAATAAGTTGAGAATCAAGGACTTAGCTGTCTTAAAAAACATATATAAAGTTGCATTTACTTCATATGATTAATACCTAGTTTCACAATCAATTACTAGGGCATGGGGCTGCTTAAATAACAACTTTGACTACACATGAGGGTCTTGCACGGTCGGTATTGTGAAGTGAATTCTTGTTTTCTATCTCAGGTGCGGATCCAGCCATTTTGTAAAGGGGGTTCCAACCCCCAGAACACCATGAAATGTTCAAATAATAAAAAAAAAAAATAAAAAAAAAAAATAGAAAAAAAAAGGGGGTTCTTACCTCGGATTTGCCAATGTATCTAATATTTTATATGAATAGAATAGAGAGCGGAAACAGGGAATGTGTCAAAGAGACTACAACCCAACCAAAGAGCAGAAAACAGCCCAAGGCCACCAATTGGTATTCAATGTTTTCTTATGGATCTGGACATGCTGACCATGTGAATAGGTCACAGCCAATCCAGTTTGTTAAACATCATCAGTAGTAGTCCATTTGGTGAATTTCATCATACTCAGATTTTAAAGTTTTTTCGGGCAGAAGATGTTTTGTTTTATTTATGTCATTTGAAAAGTTTTCTCTGCCTACTGTGTTATAAAAGTATAGCATTTAAATACAAATGTGCCAGTATCAAGAGACTAAAGTATTTAAAAAAAAAAGCTTCTTAGCTGGCATTTAGTCTTAACCTTGAAACATTTGGCTTAATCTTGTAAATGTTTATTTTATTTATTGAAATGCTATTAGACATTCTCTATGTTTTTTTTTTAAATCTCATGTGTATTAGCCATGATGGATTTAGTATCGGAATGCAGTTGTAGTTACCAAGAATGTTAGTGGAAATTTGCCATTAATGAAATTAGCATTTTGTGTAGATATTTTGAGTGTTACTTTTTCTGTCTTTAACCTTTACTAACAGGTGACAGTAAAGAAGCTTGTGTCAATCACAACCTTCAGACATAGTTATACATCATAATGGTAATACACATGATATTGTACAGAACTACACATCAATCAACATACTAGTATCATTCCATAACATCTAGTTTAATTAGTACTAATTACTACAAACATTCTCTGTACATGTAATACATCATAATAGTATTACGTCATACGTTAAGAAAGTTTCAATAATATCCTTATTGTATCAAAGGTTGAATACCATGATGTCTAGCTTGTCACAATCTTTCCCCAAAGAAATGTTTTTTCTTTCTGTATATAGAAATGATATGGTATGACTATTATTTCCACTGAGGTAATTACTTAGGAATGACATGCCAGGCATTACAGTTACTATTTGAGAGGCTAATTTTAGCAACTAAAATAAAACAAATAACATATTGATAAAAAATTCTTCTTGTTCTTATTTAGAAAATTCAAGCGTTTTGTCAATAAGCTGTCAATATATCTTAACCACCAATGATTACTCTCACTGTTTAAAAAAAAGGCATATATAATATGGATTCATTACTATTCCAGGGGTAAAAAACTTCGCAGATTTTGTTCGTATATGATAACCAAAAATTTAAATATTCATCAAAATACCAACAATTTTTCTAAAGGCTTGTAAGCAAAACTTGGCAAAACAAATCAAATATCCCCCAAAAATACAATTTTCCCCCAATCCAAGAAAATTGGTACATTGTACCAACGAATATAAATGAATCTAAAGTACCGATAATTGAATACAATTTTTAAAAGATACTATAAGAAGACATAGTTAGGCAGAATATACATTATATATATTGCCAAGTCTGTGTTTTGTGTATACAAACAAGTAGTGTCTTGCAGGGGTTATATACAACTTGAAGAGTGTCATAACAGGGGAGGGGGAGGGGTGGAACAGGAAACAGGAAATAGAAGTGAATTTTACTAAAAATCAAATGCTTATTTTTATATTTTGTCAAAAGGCTGTGTACCAATCCCAGTAATTGATGATTCCCAAATACAGATGTAAATTCACATTGAAAAAAATATGCAAGAAAAGATCTGTGGGAAAATATGGAAAACAATAAACATGTCAGCTATCAGTGTAACAGATCAAGTGGGAAACAAAACTTTTTACAAACAAAAGGTGACCCAATGAACTTTTGTTTGTTATCTATTATACTGTTCCTAAAGAACTTAGTGCTTTTCCTGTACTTATTTTTATTTCATGTTCTTTTATTTGCCCTTAGTTATTCCACCAATTGAGATTAAAGTGGGAGGATTGAGATCTAAAAAAAATTTTTTGTGTGGCCACATGTTCATGTGCCTATCCAAGTTGGGAACTTACTCAGTGGTTATCTTTTGTTATTATCAGGGCATTTTGTAATTTTGGGGTGCTTGATATTAATGGTAGATCTTTGATAGTCCCTTAAATTTGTTTAAAAAGTTTTTGACTCTGGCTTCTATTGTGAAGAACATATTATGACCTCTAAATGTGATTTATATGTCAGACAACAATAATAAGGTTAACTGCTTTGTCAGCATGTACAAACACAAAACACTTTCAAATGCATCTAATTTGTTATTGTCCCCTGTGTGATGCGTTGCGAGGACATAGAAATACTGTCCCTCCCAGTGTCTGTCCATCTGGTCTTGTTTGCACTCTCATCTACAATTCTTGCTAGATTTTTATAAAACTTGTATCATAGGTTTATATCAGCAATATCTTGGACAAGTTAGAAAGTCAAAATATGATAACCTCTACATGTAAAGAGGTATAAATAATTTCGAGTTAAGATATTTACATCCTCCATACAGGTTTACTTCTGATATAAGTACATAGGTTATAAGTAAGCTAAATGGACATATTATGACACTTAGTGTGTATGGTTGCACTGGTAAATAATGTTTCTGTCCTTGGAGATGACAAAATAAATCAAACCCACGACCTGCAGGTGACATATTAAATCAACACAATGACCTAAGCTATTTGTCTGATGTGCACTCTTAGTATAAAGAAAGTTGTGAAAAATGGAAGCTTCTAATGTATAGATAATTCATCTTCTACTGCTGTAAAATATATTAAGTTAAAAAAGTAGTATTTATCTTGCACAAAACATGATTGATCTCTCCAAAAATTTACCATTCATACAGAAAATTTCTTAACCACTTAAACATTCAGCAAAATGAAAGATATGACTCAAAAGTGTGTACAAAGGGTGTGCACTGTACAAAACTTCTGAAGGGTTTCATTGGAGGGTAATGTGAACTGAACCAAATCCTGAATCAAAGCAAGAGATTTATTTCTTTTTTCAATAAAGTATTTGAAAATTTGAGCATATCAACTTGAAAAATGTAGAGATCTTTGCATTAGCCTAGTGATACCAGATATCTATCTTGTAGATTCAGTTTTAGGTTGGATTCGTACATAAATAGTTTTTGCATTAGCCCAGTGATACCAGATATCTATCTTGTAGATTCAGTTTTAGGTTGGATTCGTACATAAATAGTTTTTGCATTAGCCCAGTGAATCCAGATATCTATCTTGTAGATTCAGTTTGAGGTTGGATCCGTACATAAATAGTTTGTGCATTAGCTCAGTGATACCAGATATCTATCTTGTAGATTAAGTTTTAGGTTGGATCCGTACATAAATAGTTTGTGCATTAGCCCAGTGATATCAGATATCTATCTTGTAGATTCAGTTTTAGGTTGGATTCGTACATAAATAGTTTTTGCCTTAGCCCAGTGATACCAGATAATTATCTTGTAGATTCAGTTTTAGGTTGGATTCGTACATAAATAGTTTTTGCCTTAGCCCAGACATACCAGATATCTAACTTGTAGATTCAGTTTCAGGTTGGATTCGTACATAAATAGTTTTTGCATTAGCCCAGTGATACCAGATATCTGTCTCGTAGATTCAGTTTTAGGTTGGATTCGTACATAAATAGTTTGTGCATTAGCCCAGTGATATCAGATATCTATCTTGTAGATTCAGTTTTAGGTTGGATTCGTACATAAATAGTTTTTGCCTTAGCCCAGTGATACCAGATAATTATCTTGTAGATTCAGTTTTAGGTTGGATTCGTACATAAATAGTTTTTGCCTTAGCCCAGACATACCAGATATCTAACTTGTAGATTCAGTTTTAGGTTGGATTCGTACATAAATAGTTTTTGCATTAGCCCAGTGATACCAGATATCTGTCTCGTAGATTCAGTTTTAGGTTGGATTCGTACATAAATAGTTTGTGCATTAGCCCAGTGATATCAGATATCTATCTTGTAGATTCAGTTTTAGGTTGGATTCGTACATAAATAGTTTTTGCCTTAGCCCAGTGATACCAGATATCTAACTTGTAGATTCAGTTTTAGGTTGGATTCGTACATAAATAGTTTTTGCCTTAGCCCAGTGATACCAGATATCTAACTTGTAGATTCAGTTTTAGGTTGGATTCGTACATAAATAGTTTTTGCATTAGCCCAGTGATACCAGATATCTGTCTCGTAGATTCAGTTTTAGGTTGGATATGTACATAAATAGTTTTTGCATTAGCCCAGTGATATCAAGTTATTAACCTGATAGATTCATGTTTGGATCGATATATGAAATGACTTTTAATTTAAGTTTTGTCTGGATCAGTGTATAAATTGGATACTGCATTAGCCCATAGTTATCCAGATATCAGCCTCGTAGGTTCACAGTTGGGACAATTTAATAAAATGGTTTCTGCATTAGCTCATTTGGGATATCCAGATATCTATCCATGTCTTAGAATCATATTTTATGCTTGTACCAAGTTAGAATATGATAGTTGTGTTCCATTAGTTCCATTGGTTGATATAATTTAACCTTTGATTTTGTTAGGTTTCATGGACTTCCCCCTTTTTGAATGTACATGGGAATTCTGTACTGGTGTTAATACTTTTAGATAATTAAAGGATAATGTGTAGGGGATCCTTTGCAATATGTGTCTTCATGATATTGCGGTTTAAAAGCATGTATGGTAGAAGGCAAACTTTACAGTAAGATAATGAAACATGTACCGTATTCTGTCATGTATAGTATGCATTAGTGTATAATGCACACCCCCTTTTCATCTTTTGGTAATATCTTTAGGGTTCAGATTAATTTTATTTTATTGTCAAATGCAAATTTTGGACTTGAAATTTTTCTATATGGCTATTGTAAATCATGATGTCAAAATAAAAAGTTTACATCAAATTGTAAAACTTGATATAATATATCTTCAAATTCTAACAAAATATAAATGATTCTGCTTTTGATGGTGAATTTTTCCTAAAATTTGACCAGGAATAGGTTAATTTGTTTCACATTTTGACATGTTGGTACCTTTTATAGCTGACTATACAATGTGGGTTTTGTTCATTGTTGAAGAATGTATGGTGATATAGAGTTGCTTACATCCATGTCATTTGGATGACTGCTTGTGCTTTATCTGTTTTTGACAATATAATTCCTGAAATTAGCCCTTTTTTATAAAACAGGCATATCCCCTTACTACAGTCACTTAAACTTTGCCACAGTCAAATTGTGTTGTGAAGCAGAGGCTGTGACAGTATTCAAGTCAATATTCAGTCATTTAATAAAGAACAAATAATAGAACACTTTGATTACTGTAAACACTTAACTGTGTTAATTTTTGACAAGGAGTAGTGGCATTAAGGCCCGGTTTTGACCAAAAAAATAAAATGTTGGACAACTATTCCAAATTAGCACATAATGTTTGGAAATTCATAGAGTCAAGAAATATAAATGAAAAACATAAGATGTTTTATCTGATGACGTCACATTTACGTCATAATATGTACCGTTTTCATGAAAACAATGAAAAATACAGAATTTATTCAGTTTTCCATCGTTATTTCAATTGTGGAAACAACAAAATAATTTAAGAGAAGCTTTATTATAACTATTGACATAATCTCACCAAATATAAAGTTGGTTCTTGGGTGTGCCCATAGTTTGCCAATCTAAGATGTACTTAGAATTTGACGAAAAATTCAAGAAATTTTACAAAATATACAAATTTCGTCATGGTTTGTTGCCATGGTAACTCATTTAATGTAGAATTTATTTTTATTTTCTGAATACCTTGTACCTTAGTCTAGTTAGGACAAATTTAAGAAAATGTATGATAACTTTTTAATTTGCAGTAATATTTGGGCCAAATAAGGGCATTATTGCCCCTACTCTTTTACAGGGCTTGCAACTTAAAGGATACAAAATATTAAAAATTTGATAAGAACATCTTCTGACAGGTTGATTTTTATGAAGAAATGTCAAAAAATGTGTTTTACAACAATGTTTTACAATTGTTTCTCATAGAAATTACATATGCTTAAACAATAAGAAAACTATTATTTTCAGATGGTTTACAGCAAAAATCTTATATTTTATGTAGTACAAATCATTAAAATTTTGTTTGATGTATATTTTTCAGAGCACAAATAATGAAGTATCACTAGGCCCAATGAAGCTGAAACAAAAAACCATGTCTGTAAGTAGTGATTTACTTAGTAGCAACAGCTGTAACTTAGATTTATTTTAGTGCATTAAACATGTATGTTGCTTTATAAAGGGTTGTTTATTATGAAATAATTATGAAAAGTCGAAGAAAACTATCTACTGTTGATCAGCATAATAATAGATCAATTTCATAGAATTTTTCAGTCATTCCTTTTTCTACAGTTTATATTGTCCTTTGATCTTTGAAATTATCTTTGTCTTGTCCATTGAGACATTGACAGTGACAGGTATATAAATCCTACTTAGTGGACAGTTTATATTTTCTTATTAACTGAGTTACTTATAGACATTGATATATTAGAAAAAGATGATATTGACCGCCAAAAAAAAGTTCATTCAGACTTTTTGACTTTTATTAGACAGAAGACAGATTTAGCATATATATTAGTTCTTATTGACCAAAAGGTTGCTGTCCGTTGGAGTATTATTTTATGACACAAAGCACAAGATTTGCCCATGAAAATGACCTATATATATCCTATTTTGGATGCATGTTTAAGAAGGGTTTTTCCCTCGTATATGTTTGCATCCATTTCATTTGTTAAATCATTTGCATCTGCTTCCGAGGATGAACGACAGACAATTTATATTCACATCATTTATATATTAATATTCATAGTCATACTTAGGGAAAGCTTACAACATAATCCATGTTAAACAAACATTTTTCTATGTTCATGCTGTCTTAAAGCTTTACCCTGTTTGTCTTCTGCTCATCTTAGTCTTCTGGGTGATTCATTAATGAAATTTTATAATTTTAGTCATGAATTTTATGTTGCCAGAATAATCATATTATGCAATCTATTTTAAATATTTTCCATTTCCCCTAACAAATGTTTGCCAGATTAGACCCAAATACAAGAACAGAAGTTGTATGGATCATTTATATTCAGAGTGGCCTCCATCAAAGAGGAGGGAAGGAAGAGTGGCCTCCATCAAAGAGGGGGGGGAGGAGGAGTTGTATGGATCATTTATATTCAGAGTGGCCTCCATCAAAGAGGAGGGAAGGAAGAGTGGCCTCCATCAAAGAGGGGGGGTGGGGGTGGGGAAGGAGGAGTTGTATGGATCATTTATATTCAGAGTGGCCTCCATCAAAGAGGAGGGAAGGAAGAGTGGCCTCCACCAAAGAGGGGGGAAGGAGGAGGTCTCATCCTAAATTCCTGAGAGAATACAGTGTTTTCCATTCGGCATTTAAGCCGGGTGTGCCTACCACCTTCTTTTGAAAGCTGACCACCTTTCCATTTTAGTAGGTGGTCGGCTTTTTTTTCAAATTCCGGATTTTTTTTCGGTTCCGCACCGTAAAAATTTAAATACTAATCGCGCCTCGCTAATTTGTTTTCATTGCTATTCAATTCCATAAAATGTGAATACAATACTAACCATTCTTTTTGTGACAACACCCACAGTAAAAAAACTGGTTGGAAAAGTATAAAAAAAATAATACGACCGGTTGCAAGTGATTTTTTCAAAACACCCACCTTACCTTAGTGAAAAATGGAGAACACTGGAATAAATTTAAAATCCAGAATTCCTGTGAAAATAATGTGTAAGTTCCCGCATAATTAAATCCCAAATTCCTGAATTCCCAACGATTTAACTCAGGCTATTTCCAAATTCATGTGCATCAAACAGCTCAATCTGGACATCCAGAAAAAGGTCCTTCTGCCTCTAATTAAACTAAATGTATATGAATATAATGTATATAAAGCTTTTTAATCTTTTAAAGAGTAGGGACTGAAGTCTTTTAAATTTTAAGGAAAGCAAACTCATATTACTAGAAGTTAATGTTACATTGCCATTAAGTTCAATTAGTTTAGGTTTCAGGTTATCAGCAGTTTAATTATTTATACATTTAACTTGTCTTTGTCAAAATGTAAACGTGATAAGTTTATTCTTAACCTATATTAGGTTAATTAGTAACTTTGACCATAACTAACACACAAATGACCAATAAGTTGCAACAGTGAATACATGTATGATATTCAGGTATTATATTTTGCTTACTAGTATATAAAGCCCTTATAGACATTTATATGGTGACCTGATGACACACATTTTCCATGCTCTAATTCATACAATAATGTCACAAGACAATAGCCCAAGGATATGTTAATATTCAGAAGGGAAAATAGCCACTGGCTGACATACAATAATCATGCAACACGTAAGTGACAAAATCCAAACAAGGGACATAATTCTTTGTCAATATTATGGTGTTTGGTGTTTCATGTTTAAAATAAATGAAAACAAAAATTGCTTGATTGAGTTAGTGGAAGTTGTTTTAACGTATGGTATACGTTTTTGGTCAATATTGTTTGTAAATAATATTATTTTGATTAAGAATTTAATTGAACTACTGTGGAATCATCATTATTCGTTGGACACCAATTTCCGTGTAATTCGCAGATACAGATGAACCACAAATTTCAGTGTTCAACGAATTACAAATTTTCTATAAGTTGTATATACAGACTTTGTCAAAACCACGAAATCATATATCCACAAAAACACAACTTTTCTACAAACGACGAAAATTGAGACCGACAAAAATAAATGAATCCACAGTAAGTATTTTGAAATAGGAGTGTAATATGTGTTTTACAATTGGAGTGGAATATGTATTTTGAAATTGGAGTGTAATATGTGTTTTACAATTGGAGTGTAATATGTATTTTGAAATTGGAGTGTAATATGTGTTTTACAATTGGAGTGTAATATGTATTTTGAAATTGGAGTGTAATATGTGTTTTACAATTGGAGTGTAATATGTATTTTGAAATTGGAGTGTAATATGTGTTTTACAGTTGGAGTGTAATATGTGTTTTGCAATTGGAGTGTAATATGTGTTTTGCAAGGAACAATATTCACCATAATTCATGCTATAACCTTTCTAAGAAAAGTTGAATACTCTTGAAATAGTATAATGCCTCTTAATTACTTAGTGGTAACATGAACTTCAAGTGCATTGGGTCATGGATTCCATCTCTGCTAGGTCAAACCAAAGACTTTAGAATTAGTATTTGCTGCGTCTCTGCTAAGGGCAGGGTAAGAAGTAAGAACAAAGACTGGTCAGCTCAAAGTCGGAAGAATATTTCTTGTTTGGGTGAATTGTCATCCTGTTGACTCTTACCTTTGATCCTTTGGAGCAGGAATATTAAAGATCTTATACTCAGTGTGTTGCCAAAGCATTGTGTGTCATATGACATTTACACAAGTATTGGTACACTATGGAAAGACCCCAGTTTCCCATTTGATCCCTATGCCTAGTCAAATGTGTCCTGTATATTCATGACATCTAAGTGAAATGATGTGAGACTGAAGTAAGGGGTCTTAGTTCTTATGGTGCTATCACATGGTTTGAAGTAAGGTCCGATTCTAAACAGCTACTTCTACCACCATGTGCATGCCAGACACATAAATATGTTGAGAAACAGATAACTACTAGTACCATCCAGTTAATGCTTCCAGACTGGCATTATTTAAAGAATTCACAGTTTTATGTTTTGGGGTTCTCTTGACTGTTGATCTCAAGTGAACCTGATAAAGTGTTTTTGAAAAAAAAAATGTTCTTGTTGAGAATTTCACTTCTCTGTTTCCTTTGATATCTAAAATTTTATCATCAGATGCATTATTCTGAAAAAAAAGTAACACCCCCCTCCCAAAAAAAAAAACATCAACAAACAAAATTTACTCTATTGAGAATTTTATCTGTGATGCTGAAACTTAAAACTGTTTAAACTTTTATTAAAAAAATATGTTAAATTTTTTCAAAAGTTCTTTTCTAACATATATTGAAAAGCTTGGTAATATTTTACCTCAATGTTACCCTCTTATATTAAAAAGCTTGGTAATATTTTACCTCAATGTTACCCTCTTATATTAAAAAGCTTGGTAATATTTTACCTCAATGTTGCCCTCTTATATTAAAAAGCTTGGTAATATTTTACCTCAATGTTACCCTCTTATATTAAAAAGCTTGGTAATATTTTACCTCAATGTTACCCTCTTATATTAAAAAGCTTGGTAATATTTTACCTCAATGTTGCCCTCTCATATTAAAAAGCTTTGTAATATTTTACCTCAATGTTGCCCTCTTATATTAAAAAGCTTGGTAATATTTTACCTCAATGTTACCCTCTTATATTAAAAAGCTTGGTAATATTTTACCTCAATGTTGCCCTCTTATATTAAAAAGCTTGGTAATATTATACCTCAATGTTGCCCTCTTATATTAAAAAGCTTGGTAATATTATACCTCAATGTTGCCCTCTTTTGAAAGCTTGACAACATAATGTAAATGTACACAGTAAGACTTATTTAATATTCTTTTATATAAGATCTGTGTCAGACTGACAAAAGTGATTTATGTTGAATTTTTAATCTGATTGACTAACAGCTGATAAAATACTGATTTTGGTTGATATAGATGAAATTTCATGACTGCATTAAATCTTAGCAAATTGTGTTTTGAGTGTAGAAAAGTGCACTTCACAAGGATTTATGATGTTTGTATAGAGATTAACATCAAGAGTGTGGAGAAGTGAATATGTATACATATTACAGCATGAAAATGTACTTTATCACTATTTTTCGTAATAGTATTACTGTTTATTTTTCTATTGTCAATATTTGGAGAAGTACTAAAATGATAAAACAGTTCATTATTTATGCAGTACCGCTGAAAAATCATATTAGCAATTTAGAAAATAAACAGTGTTTTATTAAACTTTAATGCTTAAGTCACTTTCTATCAATTGTGAAATCACACATTTAATATAAAAATAAAAAGATGTGGTATGATTGCCAATAAGATAACCCTCCACCAGAGACCTAATGATGTAGGAGCAAGCAACTATAGGTCACTGTTCTGCCATCAACAATGAACAAATCCCATAATGCACAGCAAGCGATAAAAGGCCCTAAAATGATAAACGTTAAATAACTCAAAGAAGAAATGTCCTGATTTATGGA